CGTCACTTCACTTAAAAAAAAAAAAAAAACCAAAAAAACTTTTGAATGGTAGTGTATCACAGTTTCCACAAAAATATTATATATATATATATATATATATATATAAAACATTGAAAATTAATCAGATTTAAAAATAAATTAAAACTGAAAACACTTATTTTAAATTGTAAAAATATATTTTTTTAAATTATATTTTTACTGTATTTTTCTATTAAATAAATGCAGCCTTGGTAAGCATAAGAGACTTCTTTCAAAAACATTAAAAAGTGTTAATTATTCCAAACGTTTTGACTGGTAGTGTGTGTTTGTGTGTGTGTCTATGTATATAACATATAATATAATATAATATAATATAATAAAAGTTTTGAAGGAAATTAAATATACCATTCCAAAATGTTGGAGGGCAGAGGTTCAGCACAAATGTACGGGACTGGATCTTTCTTAATGCGCAGGTAATCCTGTTTTAACCGCTGTGTTGCTGTGGTTGGGGCCCTCTTGTTTAAATTGTTGCTCATCTGGGAAATCACATGGCACTCTCAGTTACACAATACAATCCGAACACTTCCTAGTGTTCATAAATGAGACAAATATGAAAAACAGAAGATTTACAAGTAACTATATGTAAAGCCTGAGATACATCAACACTACTCAGATCATGTTTGTTAACATTAATTGCAACCATATTGTTATGACTGTCAACAATTTAAACAACTGCTATTTAAAACAACATGGTGGCACATGTTTACTGTGCGGTTAATACCTTAATAGCCAGCAACTGTAGCCAAAATAAGACAATAACACTGACAAACGGGTGTAAATATGACTAAACAAAAACGATACGAGTAAACGGAGTGTGTTTCAAAACCTAGTGAGCTGCCTATCAAGACATAATCATTCTAAACGTTCAGATTTACATTATGATGTCAACAAATTCTGTCTAGGTAGATAGTTTACTAGGTTTTAAAACACAGCCTTAACGTTACACACCGAAAGGGGATTTTAACGGTTCAGTCTCACCTCTTTCAACGCCCTCCACGGGATCGACCACGGTCAAATTGGGGTGATATATTGATATCCCTTTTATTTCAGAGTGAATACGTCCTTGATAAACTTTCAAAAATAACAAAAATGTAGCTCTTCGGCTAAGGTGTCATCTATCCCCCATTCCAATATGGCTGCCGCAACACCAGGAAGTGATGAGGTAAAAGGGAAAATAAAAGTTCTGAAAAGCGCTCGGCTGCCTTTCAAAATAAATGCCTGACATGATTAGACCGAGTTGCACTCGCATGCAAAAAATGTATGTGGATTTAGGATTAGGAATGAGATTTTTAAATTAAGAAATGTTTGAAATAAGAAAAGCATTTGTGCAGCATTGTGTCGCCGAATAATACTTTCATCAACATTTAACACATAAAAAATTAATGAATGAATGAATTAATATAAAACATTATTTATACGTAATGTGTAGCAGTCAGTAACCACAGTGATTTCACTCTAAAGAACCGAGTCATCAGAGTCATTCTCTCGGGAATCAGACTACAGTGCTCGACCTGTGTGTTAATGAGTCACTATTAAGAACCGACTCATTGGAGTTATTTGTTCGGGAATCAGACTGTACTCGTCGCCATAGATGTTTATGATTCATAATAAAGAACCGATTAATTAGAATCATTCGTTCAGGAATCAGACTTTACTGTTCGGTCTGTGTGTTTATGATTCACTGTAAAGAACCGGCTCATAAAAGTAATTGGTTCGAACTTCGGAGAATGGACAACCCTATATGTCCTTGATTCACTTTAAGAACCGACTCACACGATTCATTCGTTCGGGAATCGGTTTACTCGTCGAACTGTAGTTTTTTTGTTATTCACTAAAGATAAAAAAACATAAAAGATAAAGAACCAGTTCACAAACGAGGCATTCGTTTGGGAATCGGACAACTGTGATCTCACTGTATGTTTTTGATTCATTACAAAGAGCCGGTTCATAAGACTGATTCATTGGTCCGGAATGGTTGAAATGTCAAACTTAACTTCACGTGGACACCTGAATGTAAGGTAACTCTCAGTCCTTAATGTCCGACAAATTACTTGTCCATCTTAATGGCCAAACTTACTTTGTCTTCAGCCAAAATACATGAAATTGTGCGGGCAAAATCTTTTTTTGAGACATTTTTATGGAAAATATACTGTAACCAAAAAAAATATATATTATTATGCAGCAAAATTGTCATTTTAATTGACAATTTTTAAAATCTCAAAACCAGCAGATTGTTTTAGATATATTTATTTCCCACAACAAAAGGTCCACTCAATGTTTTTGCATTTTTAACAAAATACCATAATTTTATGATATATTATCAATTTGCATCTAAAAAGACAACATACAATATCTGTATTTGAATTTGCAATGATTTATAGTGGCTGTACAGATAAAATATAAAGACTACACCAGTATAGTCGATACAAAACAGTACATTCATCACTACAGCAACAGACAAAATCACTGCAGATTCTCCAAAAACAACTTCCCTATTTCAACTGCTTTAAAAACAGAAAGAATAATCAGCGCCGGATATATTTAATTATAGAGCATAATAATAGTGATGCTTGTAATAATAGTATTGAGATAATTTTTGTGATCATGAGCGTGCATGTTTTTTTTGATTATATGTTTTAACAGTTAAACCATAAATGGCAGATATTTTGACATTTAGTGCTTAATTAAGTGCCTGTTACTGTCAATGGCTAAAAGAAGAAGAATGCAAATGAAGAAAATAAACACCAAACAGTGGGGATAAGTCCAGCTGACCCCATAAAGATACAAAAATAGCATTCAAATCAATGCAAACATTCAACACGTCCATAATTATCGTTTAAAGTCCACTTATGATATCAGCCAAAGTGTCTTCTGCTCCAGCTTGATTGGTGACCAAAGTTTAAAAGTTGATCTGTCACACTCTAGATTAAAAAAAATATATATATAACATTTATTTTACAGATGCCTAATAGATATCATCTAACTACCTGAAGGAGTGACGGAAGTGAACACTCCTCCGTTTCAGCTTCTCAGGATTGTGGGATGCCATATGGGAAAACTCTCGGAAAATGTCCAGGTACGTGGCATCACCTAAAATGGGATCAAACACAGTTAATGTGACTGTACATATAACTCCTGAAATGCAGCTGTAATGTGAATGGATGCTTTTGTATAAAATTGATGTAAAAAGATGGTAAATATCTTATGTTGGAAGCTTTACTAATGCAAAAGCAGGTCTCTGAATGGCAAAGTATAGAGATCAAGTCTATTACAATAACAGTGTTTTCAGAGGGTTTTAATGCACTTCAGAGATTTAGAGTTCGAATTAAAGGGACAGAAACAGCACTATGCAGCCCCATCAAAATGAGCCTTCTTGTGCCGTATAGGGTCTTTGTACTGTCTGGGTAACCATGGCAACAACTGAAACTTTGAAGGGGACAAAGAGTGGGTTTGAACACTTTGCTAAACTGTGTGAATTTCTCATGCTTGAGTTACAATGAGGAGACTGTCCCTGTCTTCCCAGGATGGGTACTCATGCGTACTGACTAGTGTCTGCCCAACAACCATTGAAAGAGAGATTCTAAATAAAAGTCGAGTTCTGTCCCATTCCTGTTTAAATAGAAGTTCTATTGAATTTTATAAATTTACAATGAAAGTCTATAGGACAACCATAAACAAGTTGCTTTTTTGTCAATTATTTAATAATAATAATAATAGACGTTCAAAATATTGGGGACAGTAAGTTTTTTTTAAAGAAATTAATACTTTTATTCAGCAAAGAAGCATTAAATTGAACAAAAGTGACGTTTTTCACAAAATATTGGGCAGCACAACTGTTTTCAACATTGATAATAATAATAATGTTTCTTGAGCAGCAAATCAGCATATTAGAATGATTTCTGAAGGATCATGTGACACTGAAGACTGGAGTAATGATGCTGAAAATTCAGCTTTGCATCACAGGAATAAATTACATTTCACAATATATTAAAATAGAAAACAGCTATTTTAAATTGTAATAATATTTCACATTACTGATTTTTCTACATTTTTAATCAAGTAAATGTTGCCTTTGTGTGAGCATAAGGAACTTTTAAAAGTATATATATATATAAAAAAAAATGTACCAACCCTCAAACTTTTGAATGGTAGTGTATGTTTGTATTATATAGTTAATAAATAATATATAACTTTAACCCTCATGTTCTGGGGTTTGATTCAGTCAGAGGACATTTGAATAAAAATGATTTAATTTCAAAATGAATACTAGTATTTTAAAAGTAGAGTGTAAGGTCTCTAGGATCCCAAACAGAAGAACAGAATCTGAGGGTTAAAAAAAAACTTTAAACAAGACCTCACAAGAAAAACACTTACAGCAGCAAAATCAGTAAGTTTGTGAGTTAATGCAGATGGTTATGTAATATTGCACAGTAACTCAGCAAAGCACTACAGAGAAGAAAGAGGCAGGAGAAGAGAAGGCAAGCACAAGCAGTTAGTACTTCAGTCATGTTTCATTTATTGCCATGATTCTTTTCTGTTTAGGAGGAGAGAACAGATAAAAGGGCAAGAGCAAAAAGAAAAACAGAAGTTGCAGAGGTTCTAATTTACAGAAGAATGCTCAGTTATACAATATTCAGACATATTTTATAATGACGCCGACATGAAAAGAAAAGCAGAAATATGAAAGCAAGTAATAAAAGAGGTTATGAGCTACAGCCACAATCAAGAACATATCTTGTTATACGGTATTTTTTTTTAAATATCGGTGCCCCTTTGGCTGCATTCTTCATAAAATGTCATTTGTTTGTCACTTCGGGAGTAATACTCATTTGATATTCACAAAACAAAACGTTCATGTTAAACAGAAAGTGCTACAATTTCATTGGCCAGAGAGAGAGAGACAAAACACACCAACCAATGACCTTTCACCCCAAACGTGTCAGGGAAAACTTTACAGTACTCTAGCCTGTTCACAAACTACAGACAACACATGTATAAATGAATTTTCTCTCAACAAGTGCTGTTTTTGTCTGTGCTCTTTGGTTGGGATCTTGAGTATTTATGACTCCCAGGAATATGTAGTGTTTATATGACATCACATGTTAACTTTCTTACGGTGTCATCCAATAGTTAAGACGTATATCATGGGAGTTCATCTTTTATCCATAAGTTTTGGTGAGACGTTGAGACTGTATTATGAGAGTTCATTTACACGCGCAGATTCATGAAGGACAAAAAGCAGCAGGAAACCAAACAGACCAGAGCAACGGCAATCAATGCACTAAAGAGATAACAGAAATGAACAAATAAAAATAAAACTACCGCATTATACATTAACATATACACTACCATAATTAACATATACACTACCATTTAGGTTTTGGGTCGGTATGATTGTTTAAAAAAAAAAAAACTTTTATTCAGCAAGGATGCATTAAACTGATCAAAAGTGACAGTAAAAGATATTTATTATGTTATAAAAGATTTCTATTTCAAAAAAATGCTGTTAATGCTTTGCACTTTCTATTTATCAAAAAACCCTGAAAAAATGTATCATGGTTTCCACAAAAATATAAACGGTTTCCCATATTGATAATAATAAAAAAATTCCCAAATCAGCATATTAGAATGATTTCTGAAGGATTATGTGACACTGAAGACTGGAGTAATGATGCTGAAAATTCAGCTTTGCATCACAGCAAAAAATTACATTTGAAAATACATTAAAATACAAAACAGTTATATTAAAATGTAATAACACTTCACATTATTTTTACTGTATTTTTCATCAAATAAATGCAGCCTTGATGAGCATAAGCGACTTAGCATTACAAAATCTTACTGACCCCAAACTTTTTGAATGGTAATTGTTGAATTTATCACCTAGTAATTAAATTGGCCTTTCGGTTTTTGGTGTCTGAACTGGAGTTTGGTTGTGAACGGTAAAATGAATAAAGTATATTAAGTTACAAAAATACAATCGGTTACCACAGTACAAAAAAAATAAAATCATGTCGTATCATTGCACTATTGCTCTGGGCGGTACTCAAAAAAAGCATAAAAATCCCGTTTGAGGCATTTTATACAACATCATCCAAAAAAAGCGAACAGAAACAACAGTGGAGCTAAGAAAAAGTGCAAAACAGTGGCCTTTCAGTCAACAAAAATTTTCAGTTAGTAGATTAGACATTTTATACATTTATGACATATAATGTTTTTGATCCCACTCTCCCTCATGCGTTTGCAAGCACAAAACACAGTTTTAAGCGCCCCATCCCTGTTTAAACCATGTGTACAAACATGCCACTAGAAGAACACTGTTAGAATAGATGGACAACTGCCTAACATACTGTATAAAACAGTTTGAAGTGTACAGTAAGTGAAGAGTGAAAGTACAGCCAGGTGTGTGTATAGAAGCTAATGCTGAAGGTTAGTTCATTAAACGACTTAGATACACTAGTAAGGGCTCTGTAAGATCAGCGAGTGTGATAGTCTGTGTAATCGGTATTTGACCAATACCACCACAATTACCTCAATCACAGGTCACTTTCATTTTATAAAGAATGATACAAAAACTGTCTTGAAATGAGTAGCATCACTGCTTGCTAGGCCAAACTATGGTGGCCAGTCAATCATGTGACTAATCTGCAGCATGTGAAGTGGTCAAGCTAGGTAACCAGATCTGGGACATGGTTAACCAGCCCTAACCAGTTTGAGAAAGATGGTCCACTAGGTTAAACTCAGCCCCATGGGCTGCAAGTTCACCTGATCAATCAACTAAATCAGCTTGGTCCAATTCTGACTAGACAGCAACCATTTAAAACCACCTGAAGCTGGTTTAGCTGGAATTCCCAGAAAGACTGGCCCGTCTTTACAGATAAACACACGGCAGGTCTTGGTGGGAATGATGGGAAAAAAGCTCTACGCTGGGCTCTCTAGCACTCGGCTATGTTGAGACAGATAAACTCTTGTATGCATCTCTTATACTGCTGCTCTGTGGGACTGCTGCTAGAATATTGACCTGGCTGACTGAGCGGACCCTCCGACTCGCGCATCTCCTCGTTCATACGTGCTAGACGTAACCTGTCGAGAAAGAAATAGAGAAAAGAAACAAAGAGAGGTTTGGTTTGGAATCAAACTTTGTACAATTGTTTATATACACTACCATTCAAAAGTATGGGGTCAGTAAGATTGGTAAAGTTTTTTAAAGAAGTCTCTCATGCTCATTAAGGCTACATTTATTTGAGCAAAAATACAGTAAAAACAGTAATATTGTGAAATATTATTACAACTTAAAATAACAGCTTTCTATTTGAATATACTTTAGTATGTAATTTATTCCTGTGATGCAAAGCTGAATATTCAGCATCATTACTAGAGTCTTCAGTCTCACATGATCCTTCAGAAATCATTCTAATATGCTGATTTGCTGTTGTGCTGCTTAATATATTTGGTGGAAATGTTATGCTTTTTCAGGATTCTTTGATGATTATAAAGTTCAAAATAAGAGCATTTATTTGATATAGAACTCTTTTGTAACATTATAAATGTCTAACCAAATAAAAAAACTTTAACTTTTGACTATAATGCATCCTTGCTGAAAAAAGGACTAATTTCTTTGATAAAATAGAAGCTTTCTGACTCCATACCTTTGAACGGTAGTGTAAATACTGTCTGGGTAAAACTTGCATGAGCAAATACACATGCATTGGAAGTTTTTTAACTTACAGAGTAACTATGTCAGCGTTAGCGGCTTGAACCGCTATGCTCAGTGGGTCCTGGCCATCCTCATCACCATCATTCTGGGTCGCTCCTCGTTTCAGGAACAAACACACTTGACTGGAAACACAAGATAAAGAAAATGCAGTTGTAGAAAAGCTTCCATTTAATCTGAATATTCAAGCATTGAATATTTAATAATTAGCTTGATGCGAAGCTGCATACGCAGTAAGAGACCTGCTAAAATGCTACAGCATCCGAGAACTTATACCAGAAATAATATTGTGCTACCATGTTTTTTGGAAATCTTATCATGATATTACCGTTTTTTTTATTGGATATGCATCATCATAACATGTTCGTTGGACTTGTACCAATGTAAAACCATGGAATTCTTTCAAATGTCTTCCATGGTATTCTTTCAAACTGTGGTACCTTGTAAATACCATATAGTATTACCAATACCAATATAGTAAATATTCAGTACTACAAGTATGACAAGTCCTCCTGGGAAGTTTGTATTTTATGGGTTGGGAGGTTGTAATTACAACATCAGGTGCATTCAAATAACTTTGGTTGGAGCAAGATGAAGTACTATTTCTGCATAAAATTCAACTATATTTTTAAAAATATATATATTATTTTAAATCTATATTTCTCACTGGCACACCCATAACTCAGAAACACTTTCCCGCTCATAATTATGACTTTGTGGTGACATTCATGTCTGTTCATCTCATATACAATCTGCTTGACATTCCAATGCACCAAAAGACAGCAAAAGGCATCTGTAAATCTGTAAAGAGTGTGTGAGCATGCACTCACCCAGTATGACCTAAATATGTGGCGTGATGCAGCGGGCCTCTTCCCCTGTGATCTCTTTGGCTGACATCTGCACCATTTTGGAGCAGAAACTCGCAGGCTATCAAGGAACCCTGGATGTTGAAAACCAGAGGATTAGGGCTTTACAACCTCAAAACGGCATATGGTTATTTAACATTCCATTAAAGTGAGCTGGAAGTTTAAAATCAATTCTTATCTAGGTTACTGCTAATATGTGCATGTGCAATGCATCTGAATGTTTTTGTAATGACTCACTCCAATCACAGCCTGAATAAGGGGGCTTTTCCCCTCATCCTCTTCATTCACTGAGTTGACGTCAGCTCCATGTGCCAGAGCTTCAGCCATGATGGGCAAATTTCGTGCCCGACAGGCCTTATAGAGTAATGCTCCGGGATCCAGTTCTCTCAAATCTTCTGGATCTGATGCCTCTGGCTCCAATTCAGCCTCATTACTGGAGTCTTCAGACACCTCACACTCTGAACATTACAAAAACACATGTAACACATGATCCATCTGCTTCAACAGTCAGTATGGAAAATGAACACTTGGTTAACACCATCAAGTCACACAGTGGTTCAGTTCACTCACCCTCCTCTGTGACACTGTCCACCACAGACTCAAACACCAAGACGTCAGTGCTGCCGTCAGTACTGCCACCTAACCCACTGTCACTGCTCAGACCTGCAGGACCAACACAAGCCCACCGCGGGCACATTACACTCTAGAGCATCAATAACACCCAATGTGCATTGACGGCAAACATGACAACATGATGAAACTATGTGTCACAGTTACACAACTATATGAAATTGCACAAAAAAAAAACAAAGCAACAAAGTAAAAAATGGAAAAGGAAAGCACAAAAACAAAGCAAAAGGCAAAGCAAAACAAGTAAACAACAACAAATCAAAACAAAACACAGACCAGCAAAAGTAAATAAAAAACAAAGCAAATCCAAACAAAATAACACAAAAAAACTAAAGTAAACAAAACGACAAAAGTGAACAAAAAAACAAGAAATGTAAACAAAAACAAAGCAAATTAAAATAAGGCAAACCCACAAAATTAAACAAATAGAAAAAGGCAAAACAAAAAAAAACTAAACCAAAACAAAATGCATAACAAAGATAAACAAAAACAAACCAAAATGCAAGGCACAAAAAAAAACCAAAACAAAAAAACAAAACAAAAGTAAACAAAAACAATGCAAAACAAAACAAGAAAACAAAACACAAATCAACAAAAGTAAACAAAAACAAATCAAAGCAAAACACAAACAAAAGTAAACAAAAGCAAAGCAAAGCAAAAATAAACAGAACAGAACAGAACAAAAGTATACAATAACAACACAAATCAAAGCTAATTAACACAATGCAAAACCACAAAAGTAAACAAAAACAAAGCAAAGCGAAACACAAATAAACAAATGTTAACAAAAACAAATCAAAGCAAAACAAAACAAAACAACAAAAGCATACAAAAACAAAGCTAATTAAAACAAAATAAAACACACACACACACATGCACACACACAACAACAAAAGTATAAAAAAAACCCAAAGCAAAACAATGCATGAAACAAGCAATTAAACCAAATATGGGACCAAACATTTTTTTGGCCAGAATATAATACTTACTGTGAGGTCCTGAACCAGTGTCAAAATATGAAAAGAGGGTGTCCAGCTCATCCGGGCAAAAGAGGGATTCCCGTCTGAACTTTCTCTCCAGAGCAGCAGTTGCTGAAAGTTGGGGGAAAAAATAGGAAAATGTCACTTTTTAAAAAAACTTACCATTTAACACATCTACTATGGCAGTTCCCATAATACCATGGTATTATCAGCATGGTAAAGTCCAAAAAACATGGTACGATCATTGTACTTTCTTGCATAGTAAAACAAACATAATTTTTATTGATTACCTGAGGAAAGGGTTGCAGGAGATGCACTGCCTGGCTCCTGTCTGTATTTGCGGTGTGTTTTGGGGACGGTGGTGGCGCTGTTATGTCTCCTGCATTTCCTGGAGTTCCATCGGCGCTCCGATTTTCTCACGCCGTTGACCAGAACTTCACTCGCCATCATCTTCTTCAGGAACTTCTTCTCCACATACTTCGCTTTGATCCAGGCCTCCTTTTCTTGCCTTAAAATCAAGGCAGCAATTAAACACTCAACATTCAGATGCACAGAAAAAGAGCCACTTGTATTTGTGTCCCTCATCACTCACCTGGAGCTGTTGGGTCCCGGTTTCTTCAGGCCCTGCTCTTCACAGCTGCCTTCATAGATGTGGTTGATGATACTGTTTCCTAGTTCACACATCAGCTGCATTATAACAGAACAGACAGCAGTTATTGTCAGAGCGTGTTTGCTCATGTCACAGTTAAAGGTCATCCAAGAGAAATTAGAAGGAAAACAAAATCTGGATATTTGAGCAGACCTTCAGTAACTCTGGTTCCCATGAGTCCAGGGTGAGAGAACGGACCTTTGAACAATGAACTCCCAAACTCCTGTGAAAACATGGAAAAACATTGGTCCAAAAAAATTTATTTTGTTGGTTTGTTTTACAACACAAATGCCACAACTCCAGTCAAATGTTAATTAGAAAAAACTGTTATCTATACGTTTCATTATTAATAACAAAAATACAAATTTCAAGTATATTTCTCTCATCTCTATCTGCCATCTTGAATGCTTGTCAAAGAGATTGTTTTCTCCACAAATTATATATGCAATGCTGACATAATGCAAAATTATTGTACACACAACCTAAAAAAAGATGAAACCACATTTGCTATTATTATCCATTGTTATTAATATTATTAACCCCTTAACTGTCACCGTCCCAGTAATCATCATAAATTATATATAATTTGAAAGCCAAGATTCATCCTGTAAAAACCATTTTGAAATCGGACACTGCGTTACCATGGAAATGGTACTTTAAAATCTTTTGGCAGTCTCCTCCTCCTTAGTGTGCAGTGTCAAGTGTCATATTACAAAATGCATTACACTCTTTTAGAATCAAACCTTTTTATAATCTTGACAAAAAACATATTATTGGAAAGGTCTGAGTCTCAGAATTCCATATTTGGTGGTTATTTTGAGATAGAAGTAATATTGATGAGATAGAAGTAATATTGACAGAGAAATCTAGACATTTGTGACAGACAAATGCATAAAAAAAAGTTAAATGGAGTTTGGATGGCACCCGGTGGCTGTTTGTGGTATAATGCCCTATATACAATCTCACAGGAACCTCAATTTTTTTCATATCAACTTCAAATTTGGAACATAACTTATTTAGACATAAGGCTTTAATTTTATACCAATTTTAGAGTAAAACCTGTTATGTAAAATATTTATTAGAAATAAAATAATATAAAACTAATATAGTGAATTTTATTTACAGTAAATTTAAACTTACAGTGGTGTGAAAAAGTGTTGGCCCCCTTCCTGATTTCGTTTAGGGGGCAAACACTTTTTCACACAGGGCCATGTAGTTTTGGATTTTGTTTTCCCTTAATAATAAAAACCTTAATTTAAAAACTGCATGTTGTGTTCACTTGTGTTATCTTTTACTAATATTTAAATTTGTTTGATGATCTGAAACATTAAAGTGTGACAAACATGCAAAAAAAATAAGAAATCAGGAAGGGGGCCAACACTTTTTCACACCACTGTATATCACTTTTTGATACTTAAATTTTTTGAAAAAAATCCACTTTTGCAATAATCTGCTGATTTTCTTCTTTACAAAGAGACCAACCTTAGGTCTGTATTCCAAAGTGTTCATAACTTACAAAAATGTAAGTTTGGATAGTGCACTTTCATGCCTATTTAAAAAAATGGGGGGTGACAGTTAAGGTTAATAACCTTAAAATGTACAAAGTTAATAACTTTGCAAAAATAAAATTACATAATGATAATGATTGATGTTGTTTTTATAATTCTTATTAATTTTGCATAACTTCCATCAATATGATGATGGTTACTATTCTTTCTTGTAGTCTAATGATTTTCTATTTATTATTGCATTAAAAAAACTGAAATAAAACAATAATTAAAAAAAACATTTTGCATACAGTATCTGTTACTGGACTCAAATACACAAATAAAAAAGCAGTATCAGCCAATCTCTGATTGTAAACTTGAGAAAGGTTTCTGGTCTGAGCTGCTAAAGTTCTCCAAGGGCTTCAAACTCCCACCATTCACTAACAATTCAAGCAAGCTGTTTCCCACTCAAGCTGAGGAAAGCAGCACTGGGACGGCTGACATCACTAGACAACATGCTTCCCTGAGAGGAACAGCGGCAGCCATAAATGTGCATTCTGCCTACTAGATCAGCACGTTTCCAGGCAACCAAGTCAGAACGGGCAAAGACTGTGTGATGGTGTGCCACACTGTCTGGAGCAACAGTCTCATGTGAGCTCAGAGTGAGAGGTGTGGCATCAGAAAGAGCATGGATATTCATAAGATAGTCGAGACACGGCGGACTGCATAAACAGCCAGCATGTCTCATGTTTTGAAACAGAATCTGATATTCAGTAGGTCAAACTCTTAACATATCTCATGAACTCCTTAAAGGGGTCATATTATGGAACATATGATTTTACTTGCTCTTTTAAAATCAAGCAAAGTTCGAGAAAGGGTGGGAAATGGTCATGTTTACTACTGTTTTTGCTGCAAGAAACCACAAAAACTGTCAAATTGTAATTACAATCTACTATTACCTATACTTTTCATTTTTGAATTTATACACAAAGTGTATACACAACATCATAATTTATGTAAAATAGTTTTGCAGTGGGAACGGATAAATAATAATAATAATTAATAATAATAAACAATTTTCATTGCAAATTTTTTTGCATAAATCGCTAATTATTATTATTATTACTATTACTAATATTATTCAACAATTGTATATTAATCATAATAACAAGAAATATTGAATTATTATTAGATTATTCTATCATTGCCATTACAAAACAATGTTGCATAAATTGCTAATAATTAATATTACTGCTATTGTTATTATAATAACAACATATATTTTAATATTATTATTAGAATATGATTATTCTACCATTTCCATTGCACAACAATTTTGCATGATTTGCTAATAATAATAATTATTATTATAATATAATATTATAATAAGAACAGCAACAACAACAATAATAACAACATATTAATTAGTATTATTATTGTTAATAGATTATTATAATTCTACCATTTCCATTGTAAAACAATTTTGCATAAATTGGTAATAATTATTTTTATTATTACTATTACTATTAATATTATTATTCAGCCATTTCCATCTTTTGCAAAAAAAAAAAAATTCATATATTGCTAGTAATATTATTATTATTATTATGTTGATGCCTTGATATTTATCACTGTGTTTCTGGAGGAAATTAACCGCAGTCGCTGACCTCCTGACAACTCTATGGTCGCTGGCTTGCCTCTAATGAGAGAATCAGATCTGACCTAATCCAATTAGGAAACCCGACTGAGCCAAGGGGGAGTGACACAACGTGTTTACAGTGGCTGGTCACGGGACAAACTAAACTCAGATATCAGGTATAATGGATCATGATTATGATCTCTTCTATGCCTTACCTGTGAATGCCGGAGCACTCGATGCAGAGCAGGATGCCCAGATTGATGCTGGCCCAGCGCGGCTCAGCCTGCCCACAGTCACAGCACTGCTGGTTTCCCGGCAGACACAGGATACGCTGCAGAATGCTCTCGCCCCTGCCACTGCGCTCTCTGGGCTCGTTTGCTGAGTCTATACTGCTGATGGAGGGCGAAGCGGTCCGGTCCAAACGCTGGAGACAGACACAAAAGAGCACAGAGTTATTTGGGGGAAAATATAACATATAACAGCTTTAAATGTCAGTAGCACAAATTATAACAGACTTGGGAAGTCTGAATCATTTATGTGAATCAGTTTTTTTGAACTGTGGTTTACAAACAATAGGTTCAAAACACTAATTTACTTGATTCAGTTGTGTTCATCAAAAAGGTTTTCAAAAAAATCCTCTAATTATTATTATTATTTTTTTTTTTATTTGTAATTTTTTCAAAACTTGAAAACTACTTATTGTTATAATAATAATTAATAGTACCATTATTGTTTAAAAATAGTACATTTTATTGTAGTCTAATAATTATTTATTCTTTTAAGGAATTAGTTCAAAATACTCAATCAACAGTTCATTTGAAAAACATTTTGCAACATTTTATTAGTAAAATGAAAATAATAAAACTATATATTTAATGTTTTTTTTAAACTGTATTTTACTTGCATTTTTAATCTACTTGACAACAGTGAAATTATGTTTGCTTATGTTGTTTTTAAGCCAGTTCTACTTGAATATCGTCAAAAGGTTGAAAAATAGGGATGCATCATTTTTGAAGCTTTATTACACAGGCTTATTTGAGTATAGAGTGACTTTGTTACTGTTTCATTTGTTTTTTATTTATTTGATTAATTTTTTTCATTGATCAAACCGATGCTCATCCTATGTTATAGTGATTTAGCATGTTGACTGTACAAACCTCAATGTAATAATTGTCTGGACTCTCTCTGTACGCTGAGGCGATGCTGGCTTGAACCGCCTGGATCCAGGCCTGCCGGAGTTTCTCTGACTCTGCCTGTAGCATACAGCTCCTACAATATACATCCATACAACACAATTACTACTAGTTATGCAGCTCCAAAAGTCTTTAAGAGCAAAATGATCATCTAAAGTCTGAGCTTTACTGCACAGAAGCTGGTTAAGGACTCACTTGGTGGGCGACACGACTTCAAAACAGAACCTCCTCTCGATGTCTTCACAAGGTTTGACAGAACAGAGTCTCAAGTCCTCCACAACAACCGTCAGCGAATCCTGTGGAAGATGAAGACGCTTCAGTGAGCCTGTAAATTGGCTGACTTGAAGAAAAGCGCTCTAAATAATCCTATTTCGCTCTGAAATGCATTAAACAGCACTGCGTCACAGTGATTTAAACAGACTACCTGAGCAAGCACTTCGGCAGAAATAAATGGATATTCTCCAAATGGATGAAGAGCAGGCAGCACTGTGTGCATGCATTGATTTGTCGGGGAATGAGTTTGTTATCTTCAAAAAGACTGAGTGCTCTGGAGATATGCTGCCTGGCTAAACTACAACTACTGTATCTAACAGCGCAGTGACCTGTGAGGTGAAGAGTCACCATCATTGATTGTGAGCTGAAGAATTCTGCTGATACATGTCGTTGACCACAAACTCAGTACATTCTCTCTAGGTACTGTATAATGAAGCTGCTCGTTAATATCAAAGACAGATTACTTAAGCTGTCTAAACTGCTGTGACTTATGTGTCCACTTACTAAATGCTGATTTGAACTCACCTTTAGTTTCTTCTGATAAACCAGCTGGCTGTTTTGGATGGAAAACCACCGCCTGAAAAAAACAAAGCAATACAAGGATATAAGAGACAAGGAATTAGTTATTAATTACTTATTTTTATAAATGTAATAACTAATCATTGGCATGCTGGGTTTCAAACATTTAAATAATACATAATTTTACTATATAATGATACATTTATATTATAATGATTATCTACTGATATTTTTAATTGGATATCGATATTGGGTATTTAATAGTGCATGGTCATTTCCACAATTTTTACTTTTATTACCTTTACTGTCATCGAACTTAAAAGTTAATCTTAAAAAATATATATATTTTAAATAATTTCATAACACAATTGTTTAATAAATAACAATTTAAATAAATAATATTCATAATAACAATAATAAAAAACAATTTAATAACACTGATATTAGAGTTTATTTAATGGATATCGATATTGAATATTTAATAGTTCATGCTCACTTCCTTAGTTTTTACTTTTATATTACTTTTACTATCAGTAACTCATTAAAAATTATTCTTTAAAAATATAATTTTAAATAATTCAATAACACAATTGTTTAATAAATAATAATTGAAATAAATAAAAACAATAATAAATTATTTAATAACACTCTTGATTGTAATCAAGTCTCGAAATTATTATGCATTTTTTCATACCACACTTTAATGTTGTGATGCCTAAATTCACTTGTAGAATTTAAATGGACTAATTTTAGTTTTTAATATTTTAATTTTAATTTATTTAGACAGAATAACATAGAATTTGAATATCTATAACACTAAAATAATATCAGTATCAGGCCAGAATGTTTATGCAACATATCAGTGCATCCCTAAATAATTATGATTTTTTTTTTGCTTGCATATTGTTGCATCCCTAAAACCCAACCATGACCTAGTTGCATGCCTGATTAAAAGCAAACTAGGAATATTCAGACTCATGATCAAGCGATATGGGATTTACAAAGACAGATTAATTTCAATGGACAAATTAAATTGATTAAAATACATTAAAAACATGATACGTGTGTATATAATTGGTTCCACTCAGTCCTGAATATCTGCTTAGATCCTTGCAGTTAACCAGATTCAACCTACCTGTTCCATGTTTTGAAGGCGTTACTGGCCCTTTTGAACAGATAGCCCTCCATCACCAATCCGTTGGGCGCATCCACGTTAAACTCCAACTTTGGGTCGTCATACACAAAGTCCTGAATAACAAAACAATAGTGGAGCATTAGAACAAGAGATAAACATCAAGTGAAGGTCAAATACATGAAATAAGCTCAAACCACCAATGCAACAAAATACATTACATTCTGCCTGTGGTAATGCTTCATTATTAAACAGGAGGGTGTAAGAGGAGCAGATGCACAAATTCATGCACAACACTTTCTCTCTATGCATCTACAACACACACTAGGAGTGACTCATCCAACGCTCTCAGATGTCCCACCAGAGCTTTTTGAAGATGACGCAAGCTGTTGCGTAAGCATGCGAGCATATCCAAGCGATTACCAGCGATGAGCTGCACATATTCACACTCACCACTCACAATAATGGCCTGTTTTCGCAGCACACTCAATGCTCTCAACTCTGTATCTGAGAGGTGAATCATCATAGGAGGTCCTTATGGCAACAACCTCCTCCGTTCAGGTCATTTATATTGATTATCTCTGAGTGGAGGAATGATATGCTGTCAGCTGGGCTAACACTTTAGCCATCACATGTGCTTAATGGTATAACATTATAAACCCAGTGAGACATCGAAAGCACCAGGAGGACGCGATTCCAGGGGAAAGACTTTAATAAAAGTACAGCATTGGATTTGAAAGTTAAATGTAGAAAAAACAACTGAGATCGAACGAAGAGCAAATTGAAAGGTCTTCTGATAAAAACACCCCCTAATGTCTCCTCTAGAATTTCACAACAGACCTCAACTGTCTCAAACTGTGCTCAGATTTACCAAAATACCTAAATATGCAATCAAAAGTCAGAGATCTTAATATGATCTCATTAACTTTCAAATACTAAATGACATAAACCACTGGCCAAAAGTTGGGAATAATTAAGATTTGTAATGTTTTTGTCTCTTATGCTCATGAAGGCTGCAATTATTTAATCAAAAATACAGTAAAACAGTAATATTTTGAAATATTATTACAATTTAAAATAACTGTTTTCTTGTTTAACATATTTTCAAATGTAATTTATTGCTGTGATGGAAAGCTGAATTTTCAGCATCATTACTTTAGTCTTCAGTGTCACATGATGCTTCAGAAATCATTCTAATATGCTGATTTGCTGCTCAAGAAACATTTCTTATTATTATCAATGTTGAAGACAGTTGTGCTGCTTAATATTTTTGTGGAAATTGTGATACTCTACCATTCAGTAAGGTTTGGGGTAAGTAAGAAAGAAAAAAGTCATTTATATATTACAATTTTTATTTAAAATAGATTTTGCTCATTTATCTTTCTATTTATCAAAGAATCCTGAAAAATGCAGCACAAAATTGGTTTCCACAAAAATATTATGCAGCAAAAACTGTTTTCAACACTGAAAATCATAAGAATCATTACTAATAATTGAACGCCAATAATACCTGATAATAACTGAGCAGCAAATCAGCATATTAGAATGATTTCTGAAGGATCGTGTGACACTGAAGACTGGAGTGATGATGCTGAAAATTCAGCAATATTACAGTTTTACTGTTACCTCTTGGAAAAACATAAATAAATCGTAATTTTTCCAAACTTTGGTAGAGTAGCTGTTATCCACATTCGTTTTCCAGCTCTTTACTCTTATTGTGCGTCAACAATTGCCTCATCTGTGTCTATTCCTAAGGACCTTTAGGAGAAACATTAAAGACAAAGTTGATACTTGAAAGAAACATGTCCTAAAGAGCAACTTTAGCCCAATACAATCAAAACAGCACTCTAAAAAAATCATTTGTTAAGTTGTACATAAACATTTTTGGAGAATGTTTACAAGAAAATATTATTTCAGAGTTGGATTCCATTTAATCCAATCTGTAACTTGCTGTTTCTTTGTAATTAATAGTGAAATTTAGTATCAATTTCTGAGCAAAAACTGTTGAAAGTAAAGTAAAGCCTACACCAATTTTTTGTCAGCATGTGTTGTAAACTGCACTGACGCCACACTGATTAGAGATAAACAGGGTCATTCAACACGTCTTCATTACTAGATCATTTCACAACCCAAACAAACATCCCTAAAAAGTTTCAGCCCTCAGCTTCCTATCTGTCTGTGGCAACTTTCAAAGCGTTCTGGCCTCTCTTGAACCCTCTGAAGACCTCAAGATAAAGCTGCTTCAACACTTCAGCAGCAGGTCTGACAGAGAATGAAAGAGCTCTTTGAACACAAACACTGCACTCTTGCATCTTAAACAAGATTGCGCAACATCATTCGATGCTCCCTGATTAAATACGCGAGACACTGCAGTTTAATATAATCACGTAAGATATAAAAGCAAACAACCACCACCCAGAATACAGCAGTAACCGCTTAGCAAACCCCCACAGCACTTTAGCATTGTGGTGTGGTACATTTGCTTCAGAAAATGTAAAGCTCTAGTCTTTTCTTCTGCTTAAACTGGTTGAGACAATAAGGCTTATTTATAGTCACTCATTTTACCCAAATCCACAGCAGGGTGACTGTTCAAACATTCGCATTCATTCAGTTGTGTCTCCTTAAAGCCAGAGACTAAATGCTTCACTCAAGTTCTGAATGCTACAGAAAACACCCTCCCTTTCACTAGCTCTGCTGATTTTCTGTGTTCCCACACACTTAAATACACATGCATGTAATGCAGTTATGCTCCCATACCTTTAAATCTATTAAAGTAGAAAGATTAAGGTTAAAAAAAAAAAGATAAAATAAAAAATCATATAGAAAAGATATATAAAATTCGTAAAAATAAAAATGATATAATTTTCTCTATAGTTTCATGCAGCGAAAGAGAGAAATAGATATAAACGTACTGTAAAAAAAGTTGAATTTTTTATATAGTAAACAGCTTTATAAAATTTGTACAAATAAAAATCAATATATAATTTTCTGTAGTTTTGTGCATATTATAGATATAGATATTCTGCATACAGAAAATCAACCATATAATATTACACAAACATGAAGTGTTATTATATAATAAAATAGTACATAATATATGTTATATACTATAACTCACACACAATCTAACATATAGAACAGAATTTTAATATAAAACACCAGTCTACAAGAGCAATTTAGACACATTTTTAGTGATGCTTAACTGCAAAACTACCATAAAAAACAAGTACATGCCTTTATATTTTATAAATATTCAAAAGATTAATAGGTAAAAATCCTTAAAAGGCAGAGAAGGAAAATGTAAAGAGAATAACTAACTGCAATAATGCAGCAACTCACCAAAGTGAAGTCCAACTTGCTGAATATCTTCATCCTTAAATGTTTTATGTATTTTAAAATCATTGCATCCCCTGGAAGCGGCTGAGCTCAACTAAACGGGTGTGGAGCCCAATCGAGCGTGCAGTTAATGCACTGCGTGAGTCACGCAGCCTGGCAGCTCTCACAGTCAGCTGTGGAGCTTCAGCAGGGTCGATCATGTGTGATTCCACCTGCCCACTGCTGCCCGCTGCCTGTGCTAAAGCTCATTAACATACAGCTGCCGGCCCACGCCAGACCGCAGGAATCACCGCACAGCCACTAACACATCACACTTTTGATGGGACTTTATAAGAACGTTCTTTAATAATATTAAATACTATTATAACAAACGGCAAACAGATTATGTGCAAGCAAATAGTTAGAAATATAATTCAACTATAATTAAATATAAAAAAAATTATATAAAATATATAAAAATATGTTAAATATAAAATAAATAAAACATAAATACAATAACTTCAATAATAAATATTATTATTATAACAAACTGCAAACAGATTGAAATGCCATTAAATTATACTGAAGTTTAATATATAGTTAAAAAATATGTTATATAAAATATATTACATATAAATGTGTAAAAATGTAATAATATAAAAAACATCAATATTATAACTTTCCTAAATAATATTAAATATTATAACAAACTGCAAACAGATTAAGCACACGCAAATAGTTAGAAATGTCATTAAACTATTTAAAAAATATATTGTAATATAAAATAAATATATAAAAATATGAAACACATTATATAAAATATAATTATTCTGTAATAATATAAAGTATTATTATAACAAACTGCAATCATTATGTACATGTAAACAGTTAGAAATGTCATGAAACTATATCTAAAAATATATTTAATATTTATATTTAAATATATGAAAATTATATATATATATATATGTTTTTTTTTTCTTCTTTAATAAATGTTCAGTCCATGACCCATCATGCCTGTCACAACAAAACTAAGCTTCATTTGACCTCCAGGGTAAACATTATACTCATTATCATATAAAAGAGCAATTAACCAAAAAAATATGAATGTTCATTTGTTTTTAAAAATGAAATAAAAAAATTATATTTCAATACCTGTCAGCTGTGGCTGAAGAATCTTCTGTGCAGCATCTCACAAAACATTGTAAGACTGCAGAAGACTAGCGGCACTATTTTAGGATCTGCCGATGACGTGTGAGCTTATAAAAGCCATCATCTGTTTGAACTACAAAGCCTATCAAAGTTTAAAGTATTTCAGTGGGATAAAAACACAGGATCAAATATTAAAACTCAAATTTAGGGCATCTTATTTGTAGTGAAGTGCTATGATGCCATAAGAACTGCAGTTTGACTTGCTGGGCATCAATGGAGACTTCAAGAACGTCATGCTCACTTTATTCGATACTGTAAAAAATACCATCTCTATCTACTGTAATTACAGAAACACCATATAATTAATCAATCTGTGAAACATCATTAATCTTCACATCACATACTAGGTGACGCTCTTCCTTTTGAGATGGCTGGCTGCGATCCTGCAGATCTTCACTGCAGCACAAGCTGTAACTCACACATAAATATCTTTCGATTTGAATTAACACACAGAGCTGATTTATGTTAATGAGTCAGCAGTGCATGTGTCAAAACACTATCAACACTAGTAATAGTTTGTTAAGTATGCCAGAAAGACAATGTGCCTCGCTGTACAGTAGGTGCTACCAACTGTATTCAGTAAGAACAAAATTAATACAGAAAATGTTGCTTCTGCTTATTTGAAATTGAGAACTCAAAACACCATAGAAACCACTTAACAACTGCTTAGAACACCCTAGCAAACACTAAATACAGAGAATACTTTTAGATGGGCTCTTTTGTCTTGGACCACCTAGCAACCACTTAGAACATCCTAGCAACTACTTAGCAACCACTCAGAACACCATAGCAACCACTTAATCCAGAAAGAGACATTAGTGTGGGCTCTTTTGAATTGAACCAGTAAGCAACTACCTAGCAACCACTCAAAACACCCCAGCAACCACATAGCAACCACTTAGAATATCCTGGCAACTACTTAGCAACCACTCAGAACACCATAGCAAACACAATCCAGAAAGAGGCTTTTAGGTGGGCTCTTTTGACTTGGATCAGTAAGCAACTACCTAGCAAACACTCAAAACACCCTAGCAACACCTTAGCAACCACTCAGAAAACCGCAACAAACACTTAATACAGAAAGAGACATTAGGGTGAGCTATTTTGACTTGGACCAGTAAGCAACTACCTATCAAGTAGCAACCACTCAAAACACCTTAGCAACCACTCAGAACACCCTAGCAACCACTCAGAAAACCGCAGCAAACACTTAATCCAGAAAGAGACATTAGGGTGGGCTATTTTGACTTGGACCAGTAAGCAACTACCTATCAAGTAGCAACCACTCAAAACACCTTAGCAACCACTCAGAACACCCTAGCAACCACCTAGCAACCACACAGAAAACCGCAGCAAACACTTAATCCAGAAAGATACATTAGGGTGGGCTATTTTGACTTGGACCAGTAAGCAACTACCTATCAAGTAGCAACCACTCAAAACCCCTTAGCAACCACTCAGAACACCCTAGCAACCACTCAGAAAACCGCAGCAAACACTTAATCCAGAAAGAGACATTAGGGTGGGCTATTTTGACTTAGACCAGTAAGCAACTACCTAGCAACCACTCAAAACACCCTAGCAATCACTTAGCAACCACTTAGAACACCCTAGCAACCACTCAGAACACCCTAGCAACCACTCAGAAAACCGCAGCAAACACTTAATCCAGAAAGAGACATTAGGGTGGGCTATTTTGACTTAGACCAGTAAGCAACTACCTAGCAACCACTCAAAACACCCTAGCAATCACTTAGCAACCACTTAGAACACCCTAGCAACCACTCAGAACACCCTAGCAACCACTCAGAACATCCTAGCAACACCCTTGCAACCACTCTGACAAGCTAGAAAATTAATACTTGTATCAACAAGCTATAAATGCTCACAATACATTATCAACCACCCAGCAACATCCTAGCAACCACTCAGAACAACTATAAAATGCATTATTTTGTTTACAGCCACCCAGAACACCCTAGCAACATCCTAGCAACCACTCAGAACACCCTAGCAACCACTCAGAAAACCGCAGCAAACACTTAATCCAGAAAGAGACATTAGTGTGGGCTCTTTTGAATTGAACCAGTAAGCAACTACCTAGCAACCACTCAAAACACCCTAGCAATCACTTAGCAACCACTTAGAACACCCTAGCAACCACTCAGAACACCCTAGCAACCACTCAGAAAACCGCAGCAAACACTTAATCCAGAAAGAGACATTAGTGTGGGCTCTTTTGAATTGAACCAGTAAGCAACTACCTAGCAACCACTCAAAACACCCCAGCAACCACATAGCAACCACTTAGAATATCCTGGCAACTACTTAGCAACCACTCAGAACACCATAGCAAACACAATCCAGAAAGAGGCTTTTAGGTGGGCTCTTTTGACTTGGATCAGTAAGCAACTACCTAGCAAACACTCAAAACACCCTAGCAACACCTTAGCAACCACTCAGAAAACCGCAACAAACACTTAATACAGAAAGAGACATTAGGGTGAGCTATTTTGACTTGGACCAGTAAGCAACTACCTATCAAGTAGCAACCACTCAAAACACCTTAGCAACCACTCAGAACACCCTAGCAACCACCTAGCAACCACACAGAAAACCGCAGCAAACACTTAATCCAGAAAGAGACATTAGTGTGGGCTCTTTTGAATTGAACCAGTAAGCAACTACCTAGCAACCACTCAAAACACCCCAGCAACCACATAGCAACCACTTAGAATATCCTGGCAACTACTAAGCAACCACT